AAAAAAAATATAAACATTGATATTTCTGAGCGGAATAATCTTTAACCGGACCATTAGCCACAAATATATATTTCAAAAACCAAGCAAGATAAATATTTATGGAAGGGATCAAATAAGATGGTCGTTCAACAAGTTCTAAGCCTCAAACAGAAAGAGCCATTTTTCTCGTGGCAACAATGTACCATTTCTTATAAAACTAGACAAATAAACTAATTCAAATTTCTGGGTTAATTTAAATGCACGTTCAAGGCGAGAGTCAATCGTTATCTTGCCTACATATCCGCCTAAACTCTGCCTCTTACTTTATAACCCTGTTCATTGAGTGACTCTGGGGTCTTCTACAGGGTGAACATCATTGTTTTAATGCAATCGAACATGAAGACAGGGAATCTGAAATATTGGTGAGTAAAGCTTTCGAATAATGAACAAGAGAAAAGAACCTAAGCAACAGAAAGATGTGTTCTACAGAAGGTGGCTGGGAATACTATCGACCGAACATGTGATCAACGACAAAGTCCTAGAGTCAATGACAACAAAGGGGCACCTAGGTAAATCAGGAAGTAGCAGTTTAACTTTCTGGGACACATAATTAGGAAAGAGTGCTTGAAGAACTTCATACTCACAGGATAGACTGAAGGTAAGACCGACAGAGGAAAGCAATGCTTAACCTACCTGGTGAACTTGAGTGAGTGAATGTCGGAGTAGGGTTTGGCAGTGATAGCAAATCGACAAAATATATTGAGAGCTAGAAAGGATAAGACACTGTGGAGAGCCATGATTGCCAACGTCATGTGAAACACGCAACATAGAAGAAGAAGAAGAAGATGATGATGATGGAAAGTAAACGTAAGCGGTTTTTGCAAGTAGACATATATAATTCAGATAGTTATCCCATTGATGTCTGACCCAGAAAGAAAACTATAGGAACTTTTCGACAAAGAAAAACAAATACGGTTGTGGACAGCCCCACTTCCATAATTTCAAATAAAATCATAATACCTCAAATTTTCATGGAAGCTTCATATGTTTTTTTGTCACAAATTATGAAATATGCATTGATGACAACAACCAAATATTTATTTTAATGTCAAACAACAATAAAAAAACACCAAAAACCCTTTTAACATAGGAGACAAATTTTATTTGGGGCCACTATTTTATGGGAACGTCCAGTGACGCCGCAAAGACTCTTTCCGTGCACTTTGTTTTATCTTATCTTTAAGAATAACCAAATACTACAATTTATCCACGATACTCTGTACTCTTCCTAGTTCTCCTGATGCCGAAACTGCAAAACATCCCCAGAGAAGAATGTTCCTACCACCGTGCTTAATAGTAGGAAGATTATCCTTTGGTTTGACTTCATTTACTTTTCTCCATACATACCGGGAGTTCATGTGACCAAATAATTCTAGTTTGGTTTCATCTGACCATAAAACAGTTCCAATATTTACTCCAATGTTCTAGATGGCTTCTAAAATAAGCTAGGCTGCATCTTTGGCGTTTAAGCCTTAAGCATGCAAGTCTTCCTTGCGTGACAGTACTGCTCGATTGAGTGACTGTCTTCGTCGATATATTCAACACTGATGTCTCTACACCATTGACAATGACCTTTGTCGTTAAGCGAGGATTATTGGAGATATACGTAACAATTTCCCTTTCGATTCTCTCAGAAATTAATCGTTTTCTTAATTTACTCTCAATTCTTTTTGTGCTTCTTGATAATGCTATGAATTGTCAGTCTAGGAAAGTGTTGTATATCCATCACCTCCTTTGTACGCATCAACTATCTTTATTCAGAGATTCTTGTCAATTTCATCCGTCTTTGCCATGGTCATCGCCATGTTTGCAGAAAGAATGAGTTATCGCTGAACGTGACACTCTCATATTGTCTTCTTCATTACCATTTAGAATTTTATAGAATCATGTCAATACTATTTCATTTCCAAACGGTGTTTGTATTAAATGTCAAATTAAGAAAAACACTTTACAATTACAAGAGAGCAATATCGTTTCATAATTTCCATAATGGGGCGGGGGGGAATAATTTTGGACTCCACCGATTTTTAGAAAGATGAATATAACAGACCGAAACTTATAAACATTTCATGAATTATTCAACACTAAATACGGAATCAACTATTTATGGTAAATTCAGTAAGTACTTGTAAATATTCATATTTCCTTAAATATGCAAATATTCTGTGAGGGCGAATAATTCTGTCCGCAGTTGTATAGCAAGTATGACAGGCCAAACTGTGAGCAACGAAATGAGAACGTTGAAATGAAAAAAGTACAGAAATTTAGGTATCTTCTTCCTCGTCCTGCCCTGTCCTTCTTTTGAGCTGCCTATTATCCTCCTCCTCCTCCTCCTCTTCTTCTTCTTCTTCTTCTTCTTCTTCTTCTTCTTCTTCTTTAAATTCCTTTTCCTTAGTTTCCTTATCATACTCTTTTTGTCAAGTTCTTCTTCCTTGCCTACCATTCTCTTACTTCTTCTTCTTCTTCTTCTTCTTCTTCTTCTTCTTCTTCTTCTTCTTCTATTTCATTTTCTTCTTCTTCAAATACCTCTTTCTTCTTCTTCTTCCTTATTCTAAATTTTTTATTCTCCTTTTTCATTGCATACCCTCCAATTCCATTTTTCTTTTTCTCCTTTTTCTCAATTATCATTTTGTTCTCAATCTTCACACCTCACTTGGTAGTCAAGTCTTAAAAAAGCTTTAATTATAAAAGTATTTGAACTTTTAGAGTTGCAATGGGCAGAGAGTGTGAGGAATTATGATAAGTGATAGTTAAAAAAATATGGACTCAGCAAAATTCGTGTCTGACAGTAAAAACAGGAAAAAAAAATAAAATAAAATGATTTCATCCGTGGTTTTGAAAGTCTTATCTAATCTCAAACATTCTTTCATCTTTAGCCATAACTAAAGTATTCCTCCAATTAAAATATCAACCTCATTTTAAAATAGATTTTGTACACATTACTTTTCACACATTAATCATCTCTGATTCTATTTCCGTAAATCAGCCAATTGTCAGAAGTTTAAACATATTAAGTGGAACTATTAGCCGTTAGGAATCTAAATGGAAAAATAATTGTTGCAAGATCAGTGCCACTATTAAAGTAACTCAGTGTAGTGCAGTTTCCCGATACTTCTTCTTGTCTTGTGATCTGGATAAAGGCGGTGCGAAATAAGTTCAGGTCCAGTAAAAAAAAAAAAGGTAATAATTCATTTTTATCGATAAATTGCCTATATATTGATTACAAAGTTCAAAGTGAAATAAAGTGTTATAATAAAGAGAAAAATATAAGCAATGGGTTGGGTGATATATACAAACACGCATGGATAGGTAGATATTGAGATAAATGTGAAGGGAGAAGGAATCGATTTACATACGGTTAAAAGTAGACTATATATATATATATATATATATATATATATATATATATATATATATATATATATATATAAAAAGGCTGTGATAGATAGAGAAAAAAAACACTAGCATGGATAATACATACATATATGAATAGCATGAGATTGCTATATATATATATATATATATATATATCAACCTGTTGCTATATATATATATATATATATATATAGATATAGATAGATATAGATAGATAGATAGATAGATAGATAGATAAGAAATAGACTAAGATAGATAGATAGATAGATAGATGATAGATAGATGAGATAGATAGATAGATAGATAACAGACTGAGATAGATAGATAGATAGATAGATAGATAAGGAATAGACTAAGATAAATAGATAGATAGATAAGGAATAGACTAAGATAGATAGATAGATAGATAGATAGATAGATAGATAGATAGATAGATAGATGAATAGATAGATAAAATTTAAAAAATCAATTAATGACAACGATAAAAAAATAAAAGTCTATATATCAACCTGTTGCTCTCTCTCTCTCTCTCTCTATATATATATATATATATATATATATATATATATATATAGATAGATAGATAGATAGATAGATAGATAGATAAGGAATAGACTAAGATAGATAGATAGATATATAGATAAAGGAATAGACTAAGATAGATAGATAGATAGATAGATAGATAGATAGATAGAGAACAGACTGAGATAGATAGATAGATAGATAGATAGATAGATAGATAGATAGATAGATAGATAGATAGATAGATAGATAAGGAATATAGACTAAGATAGATAGATAGATAGATAGATAGATAGATAGATAGATGAATAGATAGAATGAGATAATAGATAATGATAGATAGATAGATAGATAGATAGATAGATAGATAGATAGATAGATAGATATAGATAAAAATTTAAAAAAAAATCAATTAATGACAACGATAAAAAAAAATAAAGTCTTGAACAAAAGAATAGTTACCAAAATCGGAAGTCAGTGAAGTTTTGAAGCCTGAAACTCACTGAAGCATGAACAGAAGAAACTGACATAGAAAAAAAAAACCTTCGACAAGAAGAAATTGAAAACGAAAGTGGCAGCAAGAAGGCAATGAGGAAGAATGGATGTGGGGAATGGGGTGTTTCGGTAGTCATTTTTAATTTGCGTTCCACATAATTGGCGTTTCCAAATGGAGACTCGGCAATCTTCGACTTTATCTTCGTATCTGTGCAATTATGCGCGGCATTTTATTACAAGCAAACGGGGGCTAATTTTGATTGTTCAAGTAATTTGTCTATCTCGAAAAGAATTGAAATTAAATATGGCTGCTTTCTTTCGCCTATTTTTTATCTTCCGTTTTTTTTCCCCGTTCCATTCTTTTCTTCTTTTCCCCGTCTATTAATTTCACGATTTTTTAAAAAATATTTTTTTATTTTTTTTTATTTTTAATTTTCAAAACTGTGGGTTAAGTTAATGTGGGATTTCATCTGCGATCCTGGAAAACTGGTTTCCATTTCGACTGCCGAAGAAACGGTTGTTTCTTTCCGTGTATATTTATTAAGTTTAAGGAAAATATTTCAGTCGCCATGTTAGAACAATCGCCGAAGTGTATGTGAAAATGATATTTTGAAATAATGTTCAATTTAAATATAACAGTCAAATGAAACTGTGTAAATAACAGAAATTTGCGCATTTAAAATAACATTTTCCACATTTAAATTAACATTTTACACATTTAAAATAACATTTTCCACTTTTAAATTAACATTTTACACATTTAAAATAAAATGCTAGAAAAATCAGTGTAGTGTATGTGAAAATGATATTTTAAAATAATGTTTAATTTAAATATAACAGTCAAATAAAACTTTGTAAATAACGAAAATTTATGCATTTAAAATAACATTGTACACATTTAAAATAACATTTTATACTTTTAAATTAACATTTTACACATTTAAAATAAAATGTTAGAAAAATCAGTGTAGTGTATGTCAAAATGATGATATATTGAAATTGTGTAAAATTTGGATATAAATCTGAACCAAAACCGTGTAAATACACGTTTAAAATAAAATTTTACACATTTAATATAAAATTTTACACATTTGAAACAGAACTTTAAGCAATTGATTTTTTTTTAAATTACACAAGTTAAAAATACAAAAAGGAAAAAAAATAATAAAATGATTTCATCAACAAATCAAACATTAAAGAAAATTCTCACAGGGCTCTTGATGGACATCCATCAGGCGAGGGTCAAAGTGTAGTCGCTACCTTCGGGAGGTAAAACTACATTCTATCTCTTAATTTTGTTTATATCTACAAAGAGAGCATAGCAAATAATTGAGGAATTTCTGGTCACAGGGATTCCAACCCTCGATCATATCACCAAAGTCCGAGATTCGGTGGAATATTGGCGCCAGCGCGACGTTGACTGCGTGGAGCGGACATTTTTTGACCCCTTAGGGCACGTCCTTCGTCTCCCCGCTTTAAACTGTAGTGGTAATATTAACCGTTGCCTTATGAGGAAACATTTACCATTCATTTACCGAGCAGAAAGTGCTACATTTAATTGAAATTTATAATTTTATTCTCGTAAAAAAATTTCCAGGAAAATTCTCAATTTCAGTAGCTGTTAACGCTCTTCCCACTGTGGAAGGGCATTTCCTTCCTAAACTTTCATTTCAAATTGTGGGAAACGTCAATATCGTGATTATATTATTATTTATTCTTCGAGTATCAAATGCTATCCATTTTATTTGTTGCAGCTGTTGGAAGTCATCTGGTGATGTGCTTTCTGTTATCTGCTAGGGTTCTTTGGAATTCTGTAGCGTTTGTCCAAGTGGTTCAAATAAGGATGGCTTATTCTCAGTGATACAGTTCGCATTCGTTCAAAGTCATTTGTAATCTTGGATCTGAGAAAAGAATGGTATACAGATGTTGCCCTTTCTTTTCTTTTCTTTTTTTGTCTTTCTTTCTCCTTTTATATTTCTTCTTTTTTTTATTTTCGCTTTATTTCTATTTTTCTTCCTTCTTTTTTTCATTCTTTTCATATCTATCTTTTCCAGCCTATCTCTATCTATCTATCTATCTATCTATCTATCTATCTATCTATCTATCTATCTGTTTTAGCTTATTCATATCTATCTATCTATCTATCTATCTATCTATCTATCTATCTGTTTTAGCTTATTCATATCTATCTATCTATCTATCTATCTATCTATCTATCTATCTATCTTTTCAGCTTATTCATATCTATCTATCTATCTATCTATCTATCTGTTTTAGCTTATTCATATCTATCTATCTATCTATCTTTTTCAGCTTATTCATATCTATCTATCTATCTATCTATCTATCTATCTATCTATCTATCTATCTATCTATCTGTTTTAGCTTATTCATATCTATCTATCTATCTATCTATCTATCTGTTTTAGCTTATTCATATCTATCTATCTATCTATCTATCTTTTTCAACTTATTCATATCTATCTATCTATCTATCTATCTGTTTTAGCTTATTCATATCTATATATCTATCTATCTATCTATCTGTTTTAGCTTATTCATATCTATCTCTCTGTCTATCTATCTATCTATCTTTTTCAGCTTATTCATATCTATCTATCTATCTATCTATCTATCTATCTATCTATCTGTTTTAGCTTATTCATATCTATCTATCTATCTATCTATCTATCTATCTATCTGTTTTAGCTTATTCATATCTATCTATCTATCTATCTGTTTTAGCTTATTCATTATCTATCTATCTATCTATCTATCTATCTATCTATCTATCTGTTTTTAGCTTATTCATATCTATCTATCTATCTATCTATCTATCTATCTATCTATCTATTTTCATCTTATCTATCTTTTTCATCTTATTCATATCTATCTATCTATCTATCTATCTATCTATCTATCTATCTATATTTATTTTCTCTCTTCATCGACTCCCGCTTTCTCACGATATTTCTCCGAAGATCTTTTTCCTCAAAAGTACCAAAATAAAATTAATTTTTCTTCTGGAATTGGAAGCTTGGTACTTTGATCAATTCGACGGTTTCTTTGTTCCGTGTACGAAAGGGGCGCTAAAAAGTAATAGACCAAACTAAAATTCCTTTGAAAAAAGGAAAAAAAAAAGAATTTGATCAGTAGATCAGATTTGGTAAAGTGGGTCGGACTGAAAATTTGTCAACGCCCCCCACCTCATATTGTCAAGTGAAAGAAAAAAAGAAACAAATGTTGAGACACATAGTTCAACATGACTGGACTGATTTACCAGCACTGAACGAAATCTGGAATGAAGATGACAAGAGAATCCAGAAGTAATCAAATATGTTCTGAATGGCATTTTACATATCGTACGTTCTGGAACGAAATGAAAAAAAAAATCAATATATATGCATATATATATATATATATATATATATATATATATATATATATATATATATATATATATATATATTATATTCGGCAAGAAAAGTTAAACAAAAAAAAAATATTGAAAATATTTTATTATTTTGTGACAGTAAATTCTATGGTATATGAGTTGACTCATGTCTGGCACAAAGCCACAGATATATGCGCAATCAGTCCAGATAGATCTTTGTTTTAAAATAATTTCACCACGTGCAAGGCGAAAAAGACACTAAGACAAAAGGGTTATTCAGAGCGAAGGAAGCTGAGAAAATCTTACTGACAACAAAATGAACAGGATTCAAAAAGATATAGGATAACAACTGACGTTAAAGCGAAGCTTTTTAAAGATTGCAGGTAACAGCAAAACAAAAAACTTGAATAATATTCCACAGGCGATTATTGCGAGAGAATAATCTATAAGAATAGAATGCATGATTAGATTTAGTACCTTCAACATGCCAATTCATGGATGTTGCTATAAAAATATACGAAGTTCCGTCTACGTGCATATCAGACACAGACGTCACAGCCAAATATGTGGGATATGGTAAAGACTTTAAGAAAAACAACAGCCAAAATTGCAGGTGTGGCGCAGTTAGAAATAATCTTCAGGTGGAGAAACTCTCTCCGCTCAGCTGGTCTCCGATTGACAGGATTTCCAAGCATCTAGTTAAACAAAAAAAATTCACTCTGCTTGCCAGCCTTCCACGTGGCCCTTCCACAGCTTCTACTCATGAAATTATTTATTTATTTGTTTGATATTTATCATTTTTATTATTATTATTATTTTTATTTTATTATTGTTATTTATTATTTTTATTATTATTATTATTTTTTATTATTATTTTTATTATTATTATTATTTTATTATTATTATTTTTCATTATTTTATTTTAATATTATTATTATTATTATTATTTTTATTATTATTTATAATTTTATTTTAATATTATTATTATTATTATTATAATTTTATTATTATTATTATTATTATTATTATTAATACTATTATTGTTATTATTATTATTATTTTCTTTGATTTCTGTGCTGTATATTTTTCTTTCCGAGTCCCAACCAGAAACCTAAGTTCAGAAGTGGCTTCATGACTTTTTCCACTGAGCATTTTTGTAAAAAAGTAAACAAGAACACATGCATTTTACATAGAGAAAGATCTTCATAATATGTAAGTTTTAATTGTTAGTACATTTTTTTATTATTTCTTTAATCTTTTTATTATTTTTTTAATCTTTTTTCCAATCAAGCCAACAACTCCAACACCAACTGGAACTGTTGATTTCTTCATGTGCCACATTTTTTTTTTTAGATTTCTGCTTCAAGATCCTTGTATTTTGATCACTTTTTAAGATCAATCACAATCTGCACGGATTTCCATGTCAATAAGAAAGCAGATTCTATTTTCGTTATGTTTGATCAAGATGTCTGCGCGATTATCTTTGATTGTTCTCTCTCTGTGTCTATTTTAAAGTCCCATAAAACTGTTACACGTCCCATTCCTAGGTCTCTATGTGTGGGTGATGTTCATACCAGATTCAGTTCCCTTCCCGAGAAAAGTTGCATATTTTCCAGTGTAGCTATAAATCCACTCTATCATGCTGTGTTTTATGATGAGTGCATGTTAATAACGTACAATCTGATACAATATGGTCAGTTGTTTCCGGATACTTATCACAGAATCTACATTTGAGGTCAACACAATTTTCAGTATGTGTGATTGGTGATTTCTAGTAAGCAAGCATTTTTCCTGTGCAGCAAGAATAAAACCTTCGGTGTCATCTTTTAATACTGCATTACATTATTATTATTATTGTTATTATTATTATTATTATTATTATTATTATTATTATTATTATTGCTGTTGTTGTTGTTGTTGTTGTTGTTGTTGTTCCTTTGATTTTTGGCGTATACTCATTTCTTTTCGGTACTAAACAAGAGACCAAACATCAAAAATGGCATCATGACATTTTCCACTGAGCATTTATTAAGAGAAAAAAAAATCCTAAGATCACACACATTTTACATAGATAAAGCCTTTATAAGATGTAGGATATAATTATGAGTACAATTTATTGTATTTCTTTAAGAATAGAGCTACAATGAACCCCTTCAATGAGTCTCTCGGAAACTTTTCAAAATCAGTCCCAGGGCTTCGACTGCCACAGGAATTATCGATGTTTCATATGCCACAATTTTGAGATTTCGTTTTCAAGTTCCTTGCATTTTGCTAGTTATTTTCAAATAAAATTATTATAGGTCCTATCGCCGTAACCGGGTGTATGTATGTTCATAAAATTTTCTTGCAGTTTCCTTTACGTAAATGTTGCAGATTTTCCTATGCAGATATTGCCCCATTCTGTCATGCCAGGTTTTATATTCAGTTGGTGCCAATATCGTAAAGCCTGATACAAGATGGTCAATTGTTTCTGGATATTTATCACAGAATTTGCATTTTGGGCTAAAAGAATGTGTGCTTGGTAATTTTTAGTTAGTAAGCATTGGTTCTGTGCAGTTTCAGCTTTTAACCCTGGAATAGGTATCCACTGAGTGGTAGGAGGTTTTGTACATCAGCGTGTTTAGTATGGACAGAGATTTGACCGTCAAGAGGATATTCTTGTCATTATGTATGTATTTGGTCCATTGCATTTGCCTGTGCTTTCATTTTAAGGGTTTTGCCGCCCTTCATACTCTTGAAATACCGTTTTGAACTTGCTGGCTTCCTTTATGATGGAATTAAGTTTCTTACTTCTTTCATGTTCTTTGACACAGATCATCATCTAGTCTCCGGTAATTTCCATGTATCTTTGATTTTTTGCAGCTTTGTAAGACAGTTCTGGTTGAACTAATCCGCTGCCTCCATCGGATCTGGGCACGTACAGAGGATCAACACCAGCCCTGGGATGGTGCATGTGGTGGAAAGTGAGAAGCTTTATCGTTTTGACGTCTATTCGTTAAATATCAGCTATGGTCCAGTTAAGAATGTTGAAACTGTATTGCACTACAGAGACAGCCAAGGTGTTTATGGCAGATATTCCTTCTTCTTTTTTTCAATTCGACTCGGTATTCAGTAGCAGACGTACACACCTCTAGTATTATTTTCTTACTTTCTCCTTCATTTGGGTTATCTGTATTTGTTATGGTATCTTACCCATAATAATAATAATGGAGTATTCCATACTTAATAAATACTGCGCCTCAGGAGTAGGCAAGGAGTCAGTAGTTCAAACGGAGTCAGTAGTTCAAGTCGAGTCAAGAGTCGAGTCAGAGGCAGTCCGAAACAGTGTCGCGTTCAGACAATTACAGCAAGACATTGGAATAGTGATACTGGTCGAGACTACATTGTTCTCTCTACTAAACCTGATTGTTCGTACTAACACTTCTACTTCTCTGTATATATATTCCTGTTGGTAATATATCTGTGTTATTACATAACTGTTTTCGAGTTCTTCTTTATTGGTTCTATCTTGGACTATCATCGTGGTACAAGGAACCGGACCATAACAAGAGGCGACGAAGATTCGAATTCATTCGGTGGAAGAAATAAAAATTTTCGCCACAGCATAACAAGTGGCAACGAAGATTTGAATTCATTCGGTGGAAGAAAAAAAAAATTTGCTTCACCACTGCTTAACAGTAATCCATGCCCTTCGCTAATTACGAGGTACCTATAGGCGTTTTCTTGTTCCAGTTCCCTAATCACTGTGACAAAATCTAGATTTATTCAGTGTGTTTCTATAATCTTCCCTTTCTTGAATGTTACTTTTACCCATTTATCCAATCAAAAATCTACAGTATTCAGGAAAATCTTCAACTCATTGACGTCGATGGCGAAGAGTTTGAGATCAAATATATAGAGTAAGTAATTGAATAATTTCTCCTTTTGTTTCTATCCATAGCTATTATATTTTAGTTCGTGCGTAAGGGGGATTAAGGACAGACAAAACAGAAGTGGGTGACAGAGATTTTTCCTCGTCAGATATTCAGGCGGTTGGAGTGCCTCTAGTATGACTTAGGTATAATGTGGTTTTCCACATTCCCATGCTGTGTTTAAGGAAATTTAATATCACCGAGAAGAATTTGCACATTTCCAAAGTCTTAAGGATCTACAGTAATCTATCCGTGCTGTGCTGAGTTTTCTACCTCTTTTCTTGCAATTTTCCGGGATCATTTTTTTTAATCAATAGTTGATCTTTACAACCATATGAACCACTATTGCATCCCTTCTGTTCCAAGGGAAGAATATTGTTTTCTTCGAGAAAAGAGCAAGTACAATTCGTCGGAACAGACGTGATCAATTTATATGTGGTGGAGAAAAAATTGGCCTATAATTTTGCGGATCATCCATTCAGTGATCCATTTTGCGACTTTATTGGGATTACTAATAAGCATTGATAACGTTTGTGCAAGGGTTTTATGGTTGATAACAAACGATAGAGCTTATCATTTCCTGGGGATTTTCATTTTAGGGATTTCGTAAGAACTTGCCTAACATAAGTCTTGGTTATATTTTCCCATTCTTGTAGAGTCTTATCCATCATTCGTTCTTCTCGATGGATCCA